TTTTTCCGGCTTAGGAATTAAGGTGATGCTGGCTTCATAGAAAGAATTTGGGAGGATTCCCTCTTTTTCGATTGTTCTGAATCGTTTGAGAAGAATTGGAGTTAGTTCTTCTTTAAATGTCTGGTAGAATTGAGCAGTGAATCCATCTGGTCCTGGGCTTTTCTTTGTTGGGAGGGCCTTTATTACTGTTTCAATTTCTGCCTCAGTTATGGGTCTGTTTAGGTTTTCGATGTCTTCCTGGTTCAATTTAGGTAGGTTGCATGTGTCCAGGAATCTATCCATTTCTGATAGGTTTCCCTGTTTGCTGACATACAAGTCCTTGTAATAATTTCTGATGATTCTTTTTATTTCTGCGGTGTCTGTTGTTACATTTCCTTTTTCATCTCTGATTTTATTGATTTGGGTCTTTTCTTTTTTTAGTTAGTTGGGCCAATGGGGTGTCAATTTTGTTTATTTTTTCAAAAAACCAGCTCCTCGTTTGGATGATTTTTTGGAGTGTTTTTCTTGATTCAATCCTGTTGATTTCTTCTCTGATTTTAATTATTTCTCTTCTCCTACTAGATTTGGGTCTGGTTTGCTGTAGGTTTTCTAGATCCTTGAGGTGAATTGAAAGCTCATCTATTTGGTGCCTTTCCAATTTCTTGATGTAGGCACCTATTGATATAAACTTTCCTCTTAACACCGCTTCTGCTGCGTCCCATAAGTTTTGGTATGTTGTGCTGTTATCCTCATTTACTTCCAGAAAATTTTTGATTTCTCTTTTGATTTCTTCTATGACCCATTGTTCATTCAGGAGCATGTTGTTCAATCTCCATGTGTTTGTGTATGCTCTAGTGATTCCTGAGTTGCTAATTTCCAACTTCATTCCTTTATGGTCTGAGAAGCTGCATGGTATGATTCTAATTCTTTTGAATTTGCTGAGACTTGCTTTATGGCCTAGTATGTGGTCAATCCTAGAGAAGGTTCCATGTACTGCTGAGAAGAATGTAAAATCTTAGCTGTAGGACTGAAAGTTCTGTAAATATCTGTTAGATCCATTTGACCTATAGTTTCGTTTAAATCTACTGTATCCTTGTTGATCTTCTGTCCTGTTGATCTGTCTATTTCTGAGAGTGGAGTACTGAAGTCCCCCAGTACTAGTGTATTGGGGTCTAAGTCTCCCTTTAAGTCTGTTAACAAATCTTTTAGATAAACTGGTGCCCTGTAGTTAGGTGCATATACATTGAAAATTGTTATATCTTCTTGTTGTATTGATCCCTTAATCATTATATAGTGTCCCTCTTTGTCACTCTTAACGGTGTTTGTGGTAAAGTTTATGTTGTCCGATATTAAGATGGCTACGCCCGCTCTTTTTTCATTTCTGTTGGCATGGTATATCTTTTTCCAGCCTTTCACTTTCAGTCTGTATGGATCTTTGTTGGAAAGATGCGTTTCTTGTAAGCAGCAAATAGATGGGTTTTGTTCCTTAACCCAATCAGCCAATCGGTGTCTTTTAACTGGACAGTTCAGGCCATTAACGTTCAATGTGACTAATGAAAAGTGGTAACTTTGCCCTGCCATTTGCCAAAGATAAGTTATAATCTATGCTTTGAATTCCCTGTGATCTTTTGCTGTGAGGTTTCCTTTCTTTATCTTCTTTCATATTGATGACCGTGTTTCTGTGTTTCTGTGTGTAACACATCTTTAAGCATCTGTTGCAGGGCTGCACGAGTTACGACAAATTCTTTCAATTTCTGTTTGCTATGAAAAGTCTTTATTTCACCTTCATTCACAAATGAGAGCTTTGCAGGGTATAATATTCTGGGCTGGCAGTTGTTCTCTCTTAGTACCTGGGCTATATCTCGCCATTCCCTCCTAGCTTGTAGGGTTTCTGATGAGAAGTCAGCTGTGAGTCTGATTGGAGATCCTCTGCGAGTAATCTGACGTTTCTCTCTTGCACATTTTAGGATCTTTTCTTTATGTTTCACTGTGGAGAGTTTAATTACAACGTGTCGTGGTGAGGATCTCTTTTGGTCGTGTTCATTAGGGGTTCTGTGAGCTTCCTGTACTAGGATGTCTCTGTCCTTCTCCAAACCTGGGAAATTTTCTGCTAATATCTCACTAAAAAGGCCTTCTAATCCTTTCTCCCTCTACATGCCTTCAGGAACTCCTAGAACCCGAATGTTGGGTTTTTTAATAGTATCCTGAAGATTCCCGACAATATGTCTCAGATTTCTAATTTCCTCTTCTTTTCTTTGGTCTGACTGTATGCTTTCCTGTTCTCTGTCTTCTAATTCCGATATTCTCTCTTCTGCTTCACCCATTCTGTTTGTAAGGCTCTCTATTGTGTTTTTCATTTGATCTATTGAATTCTTCACTTCAGTCACTATCACAGTTTCCTGTTGTACTAGTTGTTTCGTTTCATTTTGATTCCTCCTTAATATTTCATTTTCACGAGAGAGATTTTCTATCTTGTCCATTAAGGATTTGTGTAGTTCCAGAATTTGTTTTTGAGAACTTCTTAATGTTCTTATCAATTTTTTGAGATCTGCTTCTTGCATTTCTTCTATGTCATCATCTTCATAATCTTGAATTGGGGTGTCTTTTTCATTTGAGGGCGTCATGGTGACTTCCTTATTTTTATTACCTCGGTTTTTGCGTTTGTTATTTGGAATATTGGAGATATTTGGTTTCTTCACTGTGGTGCTTTTTCTTGTTATACTATGACTCTAGATTAAGTGGACTATCTGTTTTTGATGGAGCCTTTGGGCTTGAGATGGGTGTGGACTGAGAGCTCTGTTTGGTGTGCTAAAGGAGACACTCCCAGGTTAGGCGTGGTAAATCTCTCTCTCTCTCTTTCTTTCTTTTTTTTTTTTTTGATTCAAAAGGGAAGTAATTCCGCACAGCTGAACGAAGTTGGAGGTAGTTAGCAGGCAAATGATATACCCACAGGAGCCAGAGATTGGAAGCTCTTTCCCAAGGACCACACAGGGAATCTGTTCTGCCCTCAGAGTGGACTCAAATTCTCCTTCAGTCTCGCAATGGGTTGCCAAAGTTACGGAATTGTAGCATCTCTGGAGAGTGCTCATGTGAATTCCGTGAGTTCTCTCCCCCACCGTCTCTTTTTTCACAGTCTCAGTTCAGTAACACCACAAATTTACTAGGTCCTAATCTCCTGTTAATTCTCCCCTCCCAGAGTCAGGTTTTTCTGCTAGGCTCAGGGCCAGTGCAGACCTGAGGTCGCTCTGCTTATGACGTATGTCCAAGATGGCGCCTGCTCTTTGTCTTGCTCGCCCTTTAGAGGTGAGCGGAGAGAGAGAAACCCGTGTCCGTACCAGTGACCTTTTTTTTTCTCTCTCTCTCTTCCAGTTAGCCTGGTGTACCTTTCCCTCCCGGGGGTCATTCCCTCTAGTCTCCTCTCTCCGCTTGCCTGCCGGTGTCTCGGGCTATTGAGGTTCGGCTCACCTCGCGTTCCAGCGCTGGTGTGTAGAGTCTGCCGCTGGTGTCCCGAACTGTGGGCTCCCACGCTCTCCACTCAGGTCCACTGTGAATCACGCATTCCGGAAGAGTTTCTTCTGCTGTTTCCTCCCCTACTCTTCCTTGAACCTGCAGTATCTCCACTTTTATTAAACTATCTCTCCCCAGACTATCAGTGTGCTCCCTTCCTATTCCGCCATCTTGCCTCCTCCTTCAGAGTGTGTCTCTCTTGACCCAGTAGATTTGCCATATCCCATTTGCTTAAGGTAAATAGTCACAGCTGCAAAGTAGGAAATTGTGACTTAGTATGTGGTTGACCTTTCTGGTTGATGGCATCCCGCCTCCCTGAAAACATACAACATCCATCCACTGCCAGACTCAATTTCTATGAGTTACAGCTAATTTCCCTAGAGAATATTGGGTCAACGTTGTCATATCCCTATTCTGACTGCCATACCCACTCTTTCAAGGAGGGAGAACCTCATTATTATCAGTCTAATTATTCTCCCAACTCCAAAAACCATGGTTTGGAGCCTAAGCCCTCAGTACCTTTGAATGTGACTGCAACTGGAGATGTTGTCTTTACAGAAGTAATATGTCTAAACTGAAGTCATTAGGACAATCTCTAGTGCAGCGTGGCCAATGTCATTACAAGAAGAGTAAATCTGGAGACAGATGCATACATAAAGGAGATGATGTGAAGGCACAGGGAGAAGCCAGTCTTCTGCAAGTGACAACAGGCCATCCCTTCACAACCCTCAGAGGAAATCCACCCTGCTGACCATTTGATGTTGAACTTCTAGCATTCCCATCCACTAGCAGACACATTTCTGTTGTTTATGCCATCCATTCTGTGGTACTTTGTTCCAACAGCCTTATCCAGCACATAAACTCATGATTGTGGAAACGGGAGTTGAGAGAACTTTTCCTGGCTCACTTTCATTTCCTTTTTACAAGAGCTGGACATAGGAGTTTTGTGCAGGCAAGTCAGACCTTCAGATGGGACAAGGATATTCTCAAACCTGTTATGTATTTATTAACTCCCAAGCCTTATAGTATCCAATGACTTTCATGAAGTCAAATTAGCACAATTAGCCAAACTGAGAGACCTAACTTAAGCCTCTCATTCAGCAAGGGATAAAAGGGGTGACAAACATCACATCAGATACATCTTTGGAGCATCTCATGACTCTATGATGCTGTGAGAATAATGGGGTTTCTTTCCTAACTTTTACTGGTACTGCCATTGCGCATGCTAAGCAAGCTTCAGATTTGGTAGGGGCCTTTTTCCTTTCAAAGGCCTAGGACCTATTTAAGTTGGAAACTTTTACCTTAGTGTGAACCAGTGATGAAAATGAACTATTTTGGCTGAGCATGATGCCACCTGATCAAGGACAGGAAGATCATTGACATGAATCACATGAATTGACATGAATCATTGACGTGTTAACTTGGGGCATCTCTGGAGGCTGAGGCTTTGAAGATTTTGCCAGTAAGAAGCAGAGGCAAACTGGTCAGTGGATCACGTTCCAGGCATGTGTCACCATCTGGACTGCAATGGTCATGGTGGCCTGAGTGTGAGGTGCTCCAAGGAAGTAGCCACCGCCGTCTGAGGATCCAGTACCTTGACCGAACTCTCCATTGTGCCTATTGAGAAAGCCTATTGGAGAAACAAGATCAGAAAACCTCACACCGGCCTTGAAAGGTGACTGCATAGCTGTGGCTCTGTGCTGGGGTGCCTCATCCTCACTCCAAGAGGCACTGGAATTGTAAAGACCCCGTCCCTGCTACCTTTGATGACAGCTACACCTCAACCAGGGGTTACACTGCCACTATGGGCAACTTTACCAAGGTCACCTTTGATGTCATCTCAATCCCTACAGCTATCTGACGCCAGAACTGTGGAAAGAGACTGTATAAACCAGGCCTCCCTAACAGGATTTCGAGGTAAAGAAACCTACCAGAGTGTGTGCAGAGAACCCAGGCTCCAGTTGTGGCTACAGCATAGGTTTTATACAAGAAAAATGGAGTGAATTAAGCTGTTTAAAAATATACACCCAGACATGCATTCTCAGCAATACTGATATTACGGAGTGAGCCAAGTGTTAAATAACATGATGTATATAGGATTAGGGCAGGGAAAGCATGCTGTAGGAGTAATTTAACAAGTTGAAAATAGGTACCTTGGCCTGAAAGGATAACAATCAAAAACATTTAAAGAAAGGATGGGATGTGACAGATATAATAAGAATTATACAAGCACTACACTTTCAACATTCAAGCATAGAAACCAGTAGATACTGTTTTGTTTCTGAGATCATTTGAAAGCTATAGACATCAGCAGAAGTTTGCCAATTGTGCATACATTAATAATACCTGGGAGGGCTATGTTGAAAGAGGTTGTGATGTTTTACAATTTCTGATTCATGAGTTTGGATGGATGGGAACTGCACATTTAAGCTCCTAACAATTCCCCAGGTGATGCCAATGCTTTTGGCTCAGGAATGAACTGTGCTTTGAAAACTACTATGCTAAACACATCAATAGTAGCATGAGTTTCTTACAAATCATGAGATTGTGGTAAGAAAATCCTAGAACAAAACGCCAGCTATATTGCAATGTAGCAAAGTAAAGTTAGGACCCATAAAATTAAAGCCATGCAGGAAAATTCAAAACTATATAGTATAATGTAATAATGTGTTGTAGTGGCAGGTGTCAGTGCCTTAACTGGAGCAGGAATGTGGGAAAGGACAAAAGGCAACGGTGTTGGCTTGTTTGTTTCACATTATGAGCATTTGCCTTTTTACTCAGATAGCAGGGTCTGGCCAGAACTTTGGCACTATGCAGAGTCCCTGCTCCAGATGGTGTTCAAAGTCACCATATAGAATGAGCTCTGAAAAGGCATGAGGGTGGATATAGAATTGGAGAGGTCCAAATGTGCAGCTTGGAGTCCACCATGTTTTAAATTTCAAAGAGAGAGAGGATCAGAAAAATCTGAGAGGGAATAGTCAGGAGGGTGGGAGGAATATCAGGAAAAGGCAATTTCCTAGAATACAAATGAAGATAAAGTTTCAAAGACGAATGAGTAATCTGTTGCCTTAAATGCAGCTGAGGGAGTCAAGCAGGAGGAGGAAAATAGCCTTTGTATTTAGCAACCTGCAGTTAATCGAACAACTTGATACAAGTGGTTTCAATGGCGTATTAGGGAGAGAGTATAAATGGAATGTGTTTCAGTGAGAATGAGGGGAAGGATTTGGAGGCTGTGCATATAGACTAGTGTTTGAAGGTATCTGCCACAAAAGGAGACACACGGTGCAGGGAGGGTAGAAGCGGAGAAAGTAGGAGAAAGTACAACATATCTTTTAGTAGTGAGAATGGGGGCCTGCCCAGGGGCACCACCAGTTAAGCCGTCATCTGCGATGCCAGCTTTCCCTAGGGTTGTTAGTTCGAGTCCTGGCTGCTCCACTTCTGATCCAGCTCCCTGATGATGTGCCTGGGAAGGCAGCTGAGGGTAGTTCATATACTTAGGCCTCTGTCACCTATGTGGAAGACTGGAATGGAGTTCCAGGCATCTGGCTTCGTCCTAGATCAGCCCTGGCTGTTACCACTATTTAAGGAGTACACCAGAAAATCGGATCCTTCCCCTTCCCTTTCCCATCCCCTAACACTCTCCTCTCCTCTCCTCCCTTCTCCTCTCCTCTCCTCTCCTCATCTCATCTTTTCGCTTCCCCCATCCCTCATTTGTAGCTCTGCCTTTCAAATAAATAAATATATGTTAGAGTAATAAAACTAGAAGTGTTGGGGGGGAGGAAATAATGATATAAGAGAGGGGAAGGAGAAAATCTGGAGCAATTCCATTGGATAATTGTTAGGTGTGTATGGGATCAGGTGCCTGAGTGGTGTGGAATGGCTTCAGGTAGGACCCTCAGAGCTGATCTGAAAACAGCAGGAAACTCAGAGTTTTATGAGCTCAGATGCACGTAGGTTGGATCAGACGGCAGTGCTTACCTGTGAACATTCCCTCCTAATTGTCTCTATGCTATTAGTGTTATACAATCTGCGAATAAGGATTGGAGGGAAGATGAAGGAAGTATGAGGGGGAGGGAGACAAGGTGTAGACATTTAAGGGCATGGGAGAATGAATGGGCTGGGACACAGGTTCTTAACTATAATTTCACTTTAAAATCATCTGGAGAACTCTTATCATTTAGCAAATGAGAGCACCAACACAAACCAGCTACATTAGATTTTCTAAGAGGTATATGTGGATCATTTGAATATGTAGCCAGGTTTAAAAATAACTGGACTAGGGAAATGTAGTATCATTGACACTTTAAAGACCCCCCTGAGGCTCATGATCATGGATTTAAGATGTAATCATTCATCATGGTTATGTACTTCCCCATTGAAGTAGGTATGGCTAGAGCAATATAATGGCTGGGGAAGGATGAAGGGAGATAAAGGGAGGATGAGAGAAACACAGAGAGCAAGAATATATTTGAGGTATAAGCAAAGAGGAAAGTTATTGTAATAATTGATCTCAAACTTTGAAGTGGGCAGGAGCAACGTGAGGGTATGAGAATGTCTGGAGTCAGTGTAAAATGTGTCAAGTCACTGAATAAATAGGTCCCAAGGGAGTGGTAAATCTCACAGGATCAGGGTGCCTCTGGGAACTGGCTGGTGACAAGAACTATCTATTGGCAGACTGTAATACTTGAACCTGTGTTGATTGAGAAATTTTAGTGATTGTGAACAACACAATCTGGGGCGATAATTCTCAATAGGAGGATATTTCCAATCCCTGTGGTATGCTTTGAGAATTCAGCTGAGCAATGTTGGATGTCAAAAGAATCAGTGGCGGTAGGCATTAGAGGCATTTGACGGGCCAAGGTCAAGGATATGCAGGACACCCTCATGCACGAGAGGTTGTCCCAGATCACATTATTGTCAGGTAATCTATCAGCATTCACGGGGGTGAAAAAGCCATATAAAATAGTCTAAAGGTAGAACCGTACTGCATGTTACAAATAAAGTCAAACTATCTATTTTACGGTTTTCTTATGGCTTGACATTCCTATATTATATACGGAATGATTATGGAAATAATGGGAAATTGTATTTAAATTTCCATCAACAGATTACCTAATAATTTTCACTCTTTCAGGAAAAAATCCCATCACTGACAGCAACTACAATGTGTGGTATTTGAGTGACCAATATTGAATATGTTCTTTTGGAATTCACAGTGAATGGATACACACAGTTTTACCTAATTTCAAATTGTGTTAATAACTGTACCTACTTCCTAGCTTCCTTGTAAAGATGCATGGAGTGCCATAAAACGGCGGATGTCCTAAACAGCACTCTGGCCTCAAAATCAGCCCTTAAGGCATTCAGATCCGGCTGAAAAGCCCATGAGAGTATTTCAGGCATGGAAAGCCAAGACACTCTGGGGGAAAAAAATGACCTAAATGAAAGATTGCTGCGAATGTGATCCCAGTGGAAAGAACAGATCATCAAAGAAGGAGGTACCTTTCTCTGAAGGGAGGAGAGAACTTCCACTTTGACTATGACCTTGTCTAAATATGATCAGAGTCAGCGAACTCAAAAGGCTTCCATAGCCTTGGCAACTCATGACAAGAGCCTAGGGTGACTACTGATGCCAAAAACAAGAGTATCTATTTGTTAAGTCAACAACAGGAGTCACTGTGCACTTACTCCTCATGTAGGATCTCTATCCTTATTGTGCTGTACATTGTGATTTAATGCTATAACTAGTACTCAAACAGTATTTTTCACTTTGTGTTTCTGTGTGGGTGCAAACTGTTGAAATCTTTACTTAAGATATGCTAAACTGATCTTCTGTATATAAAGAGAATTGAAAATGATTCTTGATGTGACTGGAAGGGGAGAGGGAGCGGGAGAGGCGAGGGCTGCAGGTGGGAGGGAAGTTATGGGAGGAAGCCATTGTAATCCATAAGCTGTACTCTGGAAACTTACATTCATTAAATAAAAGTTAAAAAATAAAGAGATAAAAAAGATGCATGGAGTCCAAAATACTAAACAGTCTGTGGAAAACAGGAAATACTCATAAAGTTTTAACAACTATTTCATTATGGCAAAAATAACTGCTGATGTCATCATCAGCATCATCATCAGCATCATCATCATAATTTTTGAGTTGCAAAAGTTACCATTTGTTTTAGAATGTGCAGCTGACACCATGTCCAAGAGGAGAAATTCTCTTTTCACTTAACTCTCAACCCTCACGTGCACCAAAAACACAGGACTGTTAGCTGGTGTCTCTTACAAAAGAAATCTATGAAGAGGTACAATACCAGGACGATATAGCGGGAAGTTCGCAGAAAGAAGAGTGTGGAATAAGTCTGATGTTTAATGTAGCCTCCTCAATTCAGCATTGTGACGTACTTGTCTTTTAATTCGCATAATATTACACCTCCCTCCGGTTTTCCTGGACACCAATTTTTCCTTTCAAAAGTATCTCACCGTATTTAGAATAATTTCCATTCCCCTTGTTTTCTTGCTGAATCCTTACTCTTCCATCAATGATGACATCACAGAAGAGGGAGAAGTAACAATCCGTGGGAAATCGCCGCTTCGTTAAAAGTCATAAAAAATTGGCAATTAATTGTCAGCATG